CTTTCATTCAGAGAAAAACTTTACATATTACTGATGTCCGATGAACAAAGTGATGGATAGGAATGGAATGATTTTATTTTATTTTATTTTATTTTATTTGAATGCATCTTTATCAGAATGGATTGGTAGGCAGGCTGTTCATTCAGTTCTATAACACCTACATATTAACAATAACCATCACTGTCTTATTGTCTTTGGGAGCATGCCTTACAAACATGTTAACTGTAAGCCCTATATTTTTGTTCAGTACAGGTTGCCAACTGTGGGGAGGCATTTTGTGCTGTCCATGGTGCTGAAATATGAGTTTCACCTCATTGTCTTGGGGGTGTGTGTCTATTTGGCTTAAACAATGTATTACAGCCCAATCAATGTAGAATTTGAAACTCTAAACAGATATGAAACCTTTTGTAGAATAGAGATTTTTCAACCAAACAAAGATCCAGAATGCGACAGCGTAATTTATTTTGTATTGTTGCCACAAATTGGGGAGAGGTGTTAAGGCGCTGTCCACTCCGCAGGCTGAAACGGGAGTTGCGCCCCTCATTCATTGTCTCCGGCTGCACTCTGGTGGTTTGTGGTGGTGTATTATTTTGTGTAAGATCCACATAATACACTGCTCAATATAGGGCTTACAGTTAACATGTTTGTAAGGCATGCTCCCAAAGACAATAAGACAGTGATGGTTATTGTTAATATGTAGGTGTTATAGAACTGAATGAACAGCCTGCCTACCAATCCATTCTGATAAAGATGCATTCCATTCCTATCCATCACTTTGTTCATCGGACATCGGTAATATGTAAAGTCTCTCTCTCTCTCTCTCTCTCTAGATCTCTACTCTCTACTCTACCTCGAGTACCTCTCTCGTTATCTATCTCTAGATCGCTATTCTCTCTATCTCTCTCACGCGCGCTATTTTTCTCTTCTCGTGCTCTTATCTCTCTCTCTCTCTCTCTCTCAGCATCCCCCTCAGGTCGCCAGCTACAGTTTCATCAATAGGTGTTTGAGGGTTCCCAACAGACAGACAGACAGACATGGCCAACATAGAGCTCTCATGCAGCCAATGATTAGTGCAGATAACCTGGTCTCAGAGCAAAACGTATTATATATTACATTTACCCTGAACAAAAATATAAACGTAACATGTAAAGTGTTGGTCCCATATTTAATGAGCTGCAATAAAAGATCCCAGAAATGTTCTATATGCACAAAAAGCTTATTTCTCTCCAATTTTGTGCACAAATCTGTTTACATCCCTTTTAGTGAGCATTTCTCCTTTGCCAAGATAATCCACCTGACAGGTGTGGCATATCAAGAAGCTGATTAAACAGCATGATCATTACACAGGTGCAACTTGTGCTGGCCACAATAAAAGGCCACTCTAAAATGTGCAGTTTTGTCACACAACACAATGGCACAGATGTCTCAAGTTTTTGAAGGAGCGTGCAATTGGCATGCTGACTGTAGGAATGTCCATCAGAGCTTTTGCCAGATAATTGAATATTCATTTATCTACCATAAGCCACCTCCAATGTCGTTTTAGAGAATTTGGCACTATGTCCAACCGGCCTCACAACCGCAGACCACATGTAACCACGTCAGCCCAGGACCTGTAACCACGTCAGCCCAGGACCTGTAACCACGTCAGCCCAGGACCTGTAACCACGTCAGCCCAGGACCTGTAACCACGTCAGCCCAGGACCTGTAACCACGTCAGCCCAGGACCTGTAACCACGCCAGCCCAGGACCTGTAACCACGCCAGCCCAGGACCTGTAACCACGCCAGCCCAGGACCTGTAACCACGTCAGCCCAGGACCTGTAACCACGCCAGCCCAGGACCTGTAACCACGCCAGCCCAGGACCTGTAACCACGCCAGCCCAGGACCTGTAACCACGCCAGCCCAGGACCTGTAACCACGCCAGCCCAGGACCTGTAACCACGCCAGCCCAGGACCTGTAACCACGGCCAGCCCAGGACCTGTAACCACGCCAGCCCAGGACCTGTAACCACGCCAGCCCAGGACCTGTAACCACGCCAGCCCAGGACCTGTAACCACGCCAGCCCAGGACCTGTAACCACGCCAGCCCAGGACCTGTAACCACGCCAGCCCAGGACCTGTAACCACGCCAGCCCAGACCTGTAACCCACGTCCGCCCAGGACCTGTACCACCCAGCCAGGACCTGTAACCACGCCAGCCCAGGACCTGTAACCACGCCAGCCCAGGACCTGTAACCACGCCAGCCCAGGACCTGCGGGATCATCTGAGACCAGCCACTCGGTCAGCTGATGGAATGTCTGCACAAACTGTCAGAAACAGTCTCAGGGGAGATCATCTGCGTGCTCGTCGTCCTCACCAGGGTCTTGACCTGACTGCAGTTTGGCGTCGTAACAGTTTGCTGATGTCAACGTTGTGAACAGAGTGCCCCATGGTGGCGGTGGGGTTATGGTATGGGCAGGTATATGCTACGGACAACGAACACAATTGCATTTTATCGATAGCAATTTGAATGCACAGAGATACTGTGAAGAAATCCTGAAGCCCATTGTCGTGCCATTCATCCGCCGCCACCATGGGGCAAGGATCCGTACACAATTCTCTGGAAGCTGAAAATGTCCCAGTTCTTCCATGGCCTGCATACTCACCAGACATGAGCATGTTTGGGATGCTCTGGATCGACGTGTACGACAGCGTGTTCCAGTTCCCGCCAATATCCAGCAACTTCACACAGCCATTGAAAAGGAGTGTGACAACATCAACAGGCCACAATCAACAGCCTGAACTCTATGCGAAGAAGCTGCATGAGGCAAATGGTGGTCACAGCAGATACTGACTGGTTTTCTGATCCACGGCCCTACCTTTTTTGTAAGGTATCTGTGACCAACAGATGCATATCTGTATTCCCAGTCATATGAAATCCATAGATTAGGCCATTATTTATTTATTTATTTCAATTGAACTAACTCAGTAAAATCTTTTAAATTGTTGCATGTTGCATTTATATTTTGGTTCAGTGTAGTATGATATGTTACATTACCAATGTAATAGTTGTTGTACAATATAAGACAAATTGTAGGACCTATAGTATGTTATGAATTACAATTCGTATGATATGTTACGGATTGCAATTAGTTGTTTCTAATGTTAGCTAGGTGGCTCGGTGGCTAATGCTAAAGTTAGCTAGGTCGCTAACATTGGCTAGGGTTAAGGTTAGGGTTAGGGTTAGGGTTAGGAGTTAGGTTAAAGGGTTAAGTTTAGGGTTAGCTAACATGCTAAAGTAGCTAAAAGTAGTAAGTAGTTGCAAAGTTGCTAATTAGCTAAAATGCTAAATTTGTCCAGAACACTCACACCCTCACTCTTTCACTCTGTCGTTCTATCTCACTCTCTGCTCTCATTTTCTAATCTTTCTCTCTTTCCACCTTTACGTCGTTTCTGTGTATCAGGATGGACTTGGGTTGCAGCAACCATTTTCCGCTGGCAGCACCCTACTTTTGTTTTTACCTACAGTAACCTAACATAACGTAGCATATCATACTAAATGGAGTGGCACGGATTTGGGATTTTAGTAGGCTTGGGCGGTATCCAGATTGTCATACCTTCATACTGACCTTGTGGCCTAACAGGATATTTGGTAATACCGGCACTGAACACAAGGGGCACTCTTTTCTAACTCCACTGAGACTCTGTAATCCGAAGGTTAGCAATGCTAACAAGTACTACAACTAAATGCTAATGAGCGCATTGCGAAATGTTATACTGTCTCTGGAATAAACTATTTGCAAGACAGACATCCCAGCTCATAAAGTTATACAAGTAACTAAAAAATGCTACTCACAATTTGCTGCGCGCACAAAACAAATATTAGACAGCAAGGCTCTTGATCCAGGAGGGGATTCTCTGCTGTTACCAAGCAAAGCTTGATTTTGAAGATGCTAACCACTTAGCTAGATAGCTAACTAGCTACTAAATTAGCAAACCAAATGCAGAACTGCAGAGCAGTTAGCACATTTTAGACAGTTAACTTAATAGTTATAATATATCTAGCTGGAAAACATTTAGTTGTGAATTGCATACTGTAACTAGATCACCTGGCTCGTGCTGTACACCAGTGAGTGACTCACAAGGCTCCGGTCTCTCATCGTTGTGTGCTTGGAAACAAACACCACTTGACTGGGGACTACCAGTAAGCTTCATAATAAAACATTATGTGACTGGTGAAATTAAGACCATGATGTTCTTTATCTCCTAATGTATCCCAGAAGTTGATTGCAGTTATTTACCTAAAAAGTAGCTACAAATATTCAAATGTATTTAAAAAAAAACTTCAAAGAAATACTGGCGTTTCAATGATATTGACGGTATTGAAAAACCATCCGTGGCTATTTTCAAATACCCCGGGAAATGTATATGCCCAAGCCTAGATTTTAGTAACATATAATACGTTTTTGCTCTGAGACCAGGCTGGTGCGGAAGGAAGGATGTGCAGGCATAATGGTAGTTTGAAGGGCACATGGCAGGTAGAGTGTTAGAGAAGGGAATAAATAGGGAGGGGAGTGATTTTAGAGAACGGGTGAGCGAGGGAGAGGGGGGGGGGGGGGGGAGTGATTTTAGAGAACGGGTGAGGGAGGGAGAGGGAGTGATTTTAGAGAACGGGTGAGGGAGGGAGAGGGAGTGATTTTAGAGAACGGGTGAGGGAGAGGGAGTGATTTAGAGAAAGAGGGAGGGAGAGGGAGTGATTTAGAGAAAGAGGGAGGGAGAGGGAGGGAGGGAGGATGCTGCCAGCGGAAAATGGCTGCTGCAACCCAAGTCCATCCTGATACACAGAAACGACGTAAAGGTGGAGAGAGAGAAGGATTAGAAAATGAGAGCAGAGAGTGAGATAGAACGACAGAGTGAAAGAGTGAGGGTGTGAGTGTCCGCGTGTGTGTTCTGGCGAAGGGGGGATCTAAAGGACAGGGATACCCGGCCAGGGAGCTCGAAGCAGCGGCTACACCGAGACATGGAGGGCGAGTAAGTCCTTATCTTTTTATTAATAGAATATTACATGAAATCAATTTAGCTTGGTCATTACATGAATCTCTGATAACCACCGATGTTACACCAGAAGGCAACCTCAGGACAGACAAAGGTACGGTCTATTGATATAGCTGAGGATAAACACCATTACGTAGTGTTGAATCAACAGTATACACCCCATTCCCGATATATTCACGCAAATATGTGATAAATATGCATATATGATTCGGTTACATGGGCGCTACAATATTAAACGGTGTAAAGACAGGATTCAATACCGTATCAAAGACAACACGGCTTCTAATCGAATGATAAAAACCCACTGTGAGAAATACCAGATAATAGTCACGCAGTGGCGAGGACTTCTATTTAACCATGAAATAAATCAGTCAATGTGTAAAATGTATTGAAGAAATTGACAAAATATGGCGAGTTTTGGCCAAGCTCTCGTCATTCACAGACACAGGATCCGGCAAACCTAGGGAGGGATGCTGGCGATGGGATTTTTATCAACGCGTCTCGGGTTTCATTATGATTTTTAAAGCCCAACTTTATGAATGAAATGTGATTTTTCTCTCGCCCTCTTCCTCAACCCCTCCCCTCCTTCCCTTTCTCATCGCCCCCTCCCCCATCTCTCTTTCTATACCCACTCATCTCTCCTTTTTCCAAACGATTGCATTTTTTTCTTCTTCGAGATATTGCAAATCCGTTTAAATCACTGTGTTTTATTGTATTTCATTCATAAAATAACGAATATCAGGATGTGTTAGCGAGCGAGTGCGTGTAGCAGCCAAGTGTGTGATGAACAGGCAGGAGGAGGAGAGGAGAACGCAATGTCTTACAATTATTGCAACAATAATGGGAATCCTATGTAATACAAATGTAACGATATGATGCCCGTGTCTTAGCAGCTCTGTCGATCCACGGTGATGGAATTTAAAACACTCATTCATTGTGCATCTGGCGGACTAGAGGAGAAGGAGAGGGTTGTGCTGCGAGATACAGGGCCTCGCACGGATGGCGAATGGGCGCGTTCATTGATACATCTGGGAAACACTCCTTCTTGCTCCCAACTCCCATTCGGTCATTCTCGCCTTGCCTCAATATTTCTCTCATTCCGTGCCATTTCCTCGTGACACTACATTACTCAGGAATAAGAGTCGTGGTCGTTCTAAAACAAATCCTGATATGGTTTATTTTGTGCTGTACAATAATATAATATTCACTCCAACGTTGTGTTTTCATTGGTGCAGTCATCACATCCTAGGCGAGATTAGATTTACCTTGCCCACGTGACCCTCCATTATAAAAACCTGTCCGCTTCCGTCCTTCCTACCATTGATATCTATGGTGGGGCTCAAGAGTCCTAGTGTGGTTATGCTATGCTTCTATATGAGTAGGCCTACTGAGGTTAGGAAATAGAAAGACATTATGACTAAAAATAAATACATGTAAGATGGAGGAGTGATTTTTAAAAAAATTCATCTTCACGTTTTGAAACATGAGAAGGATGTTGATAAAACAGTTAGGTAATGCTTGACATCAGAGCCAGTGTCAACAGACCATAGCATATTCCATATCATGATTATGTTGTAATTTGTAACATGATGATTGTTTTTTTCTTGGGTATATCTCTCTGTCTGTCTATATCTCTCTGCCTGTCTATATCTCTCTGTCTGTCTATATCTCTCGGTCTGTCTATATCTCTCGGTCTGTCTATATCTCTCTGTCTGTCTATATCTCTCTGTCTGACTATATCTCTCTGCCTGACTATATCTCTCTGTCTGTCTATATCTCTCTGTCTGTCTATATCTCTCTGTCTGTCTATATCTCTCGGTTTCTGCCGACTATATCTTCTTTGTCAATCTCTGGTCTGTTATATCTCTCTGCCTGTCAAAATCTCTCTGTTGTTATATCTCTCTGTCGTCTATATCTCTTGTTGTCTATATTTTCTCGGGCCTGTCATACTCCTTTTGTCTATATCCCCTCTCCCGTTTTTATTCTTGCCTGTTTATCCTCTCCCTGAATATCTCTCGTCTTTTATTTTCTTCTGCCGGGTCTATATTCTGGTTTGTCTATATCTCTCTCCCTGTCTATATTCTCTGCCTTTTCTATATCTCTGGGTTTGGGGTCTATATCTCTCTGCCTGTCTATTTTCTTTTGCCTGTCTATACTCTCTATCTGTCTATTCTTTCCCTTGTCTATATTCTCTGCATGTCTTTTATCCCCTTGTCTGTCAAAATCTCTCTGTCTGTCTATATCTCTCTCCCTGTCTATATCTCTCTATTGTCTATATCTCTTCCCTGTCAATCTCTCTATTTTTTCTATATTTCGTCTGTTAATCTCTTCCCGGTTATATCTTCCTGTTATATTCTCTCTTCTGTCTATATCTCTTGTCTTTTTATATTCTCGGTTTGTTATATCTTCGGTTGTCTAATCTTTTTTGACTATACTCTCTCCCGACTATATCTTTTGTCTGTCTATTTTCTCTCTTTTTGTCTAATCTCCTGTCTGTCTTTAAAATTTTCGGTCTGTCTATATCTTCGGTTGTCTTTTAATTTTCTTGTTGGTTAATATCTTCTGTCTGTCTATATCTTTTGGGCTGTCTATATCTCTTGTTGTCATATCTCTCTGCCGGGTCTAAATTCTCTGGTCTGTCATATCCTCTATTGTCTAATCTCTCTGTCGTCATTTTTCCCCTTGTCCTATATTCTCTTTGTCTATTATCTTGTTGTTATACCCCTCTCGCCTAAAATCCCCTTGGGCCGTTTTAAAATCTCTTTTTATATGAATGCTTATCCATTTTTTTTATAATAGGTTTTGCCCCGGGTAAAAAAATTTTCTACTATGTTCATTTCACATTTAACCGGTTGCCTCTGCATCTTTGTAAACAGAGCAATCAAATTGTATTATGCATTAATATTATATAGTTATATAGGGGGGTTGTGTAATATATAGTTATATAGGGGGGTTGTGTAATATATAGTTATATAGGGGGGTTGTGTAATATATAGTTATATAGGGGGGTTGTGTAATATATAGTTACAGTGAGGGAAAAAAAGTATTTGATCCCCTACTGATTTTGTACGTTTGCCCACTGACAAAGACATGATCAGTCTATAATTTTAATGGTAGTTTTTTTTTAACAGTGAGAGACAGAATAACAACAAAAAAATCCATAAAAACGCATGTCAAAAATGTTATACATTGATTTGCATTTTAATGAGGGAAATAAGTATTTGACCCCTCTGCAAAACATGACTTAGTACTTGGTGTCAAAACCCTTGTTGGCAATCACAGAGGTCAGACGTTTCTTGTAGTTGGCCACCAGGTTTGCACACATTTCAGGAGGGATTTTGTCCCACTCCTCTTTGCAGATCTTCTCCAAGTCATTAAGGTTTCGAGGCTGACGTTTGGCAACTCGAACCTTCAGCTCCCTCCACAGATTTTCTATGGTATTAAGGTCTGGAGACTGGCTAGGCCACTCCAGGACCTTAATGTGCTTCTTCTTGAGCCACTCCTTTGTTGCCTTGGCCATGTGTTTTGGGTCATTGTCATGCTGAAATACCCATCCACGACCCATTTTCAATGCCCTGGCTGAGGGAAGGAGGTTCTCACCCAAGATTTGACGGTACATGGCCCCGTCCATCGTCCCTTTGAATGTGGTGAAGTTGTCCTGTCCCCTTAGCAGAAAAACACCCCCAAAGCATAATGTTTCCACCTCCATGTTTGACGGTGGAATGGTGTTCTTGGGGTCATAGGTAGCATTCCTCCTCCTCCAAACACGGCGAGTTGAGTTGATGCCAAAGAGCTCGATTTTGGTCTCATCTGACCACAACACTTTCACCCAGTTCTCCTCTGAATCATTCAGATGTTCATTGGCTAACTTCAGACAGGAATGTATATGTGCTTTCTTGAGCAGGGGGACCTTGCGGGCGCTGCAGGATTTCAGTCCTTCACGGCGTAGTGTGTTACCAATTGTTTTCTTGGTGACTATGGTCCCAGCTGCCTTGAGATCACTGACAAGATCCTCCCGTGTAGTTCTGGGCTGATTCCTCACCGTTCTCATGATCATTGCAACTCCACGAGGTGAGATCTTGCATGGAGCCCCAGGCCGAGGGAGATTGACAGTTATTTTGTGTTTCTTCCATTTGCGAATAATCGAACCAACTGTTGTCACCTTCTCACCAAGCTGCTTGGCGATGGCCTTGTAGCCCATTCCAGCCTTGGGTAGGTCTACAATCTTGTCCCTGACATCCTTGGAGAGCTCTTTGGTCTTGGCCATGGTAGAGAGTTTGGAATCTGATTGATTGATTGCTTCTGTGGACAGGTGTCTTTTATACAGGTAACAAACTGAGATTAGGAGCACTCCCTTTAAGAGTGTGCTCCTAATCTCAGCTCGTTACCTGTATAAAAGACACCTGGGAGCAAGAAATCTTTCTGATAGAGAGGGGGTCAAATACTTATTTCACTCATTAAAATGCAAATCAATTTATAACATTTTTGACATGCGTTTTTCTGGATTTTGTTGTTATTCTGTCTCTCACTGTTCAAATAAACCTAACATTAAAATTATAGACTGATAATTTCTTTGTCAGTGGGCAAACGTACAAAATCAGCAGGGGATCAAATACTGTTTTCCCTCACTGTATATGGGGGGGTTGTGTAATATCATATAGTTATATAGGGGGGTTGTGTAATATATAGGTTATATAGGGGGGTTGTGTAATATATTTATAGGGGGGTTGTGTAATATATGTTATATAGGGGGGTTGTGTAATATATCGTTACTATTGGGGGGGTTGTGTAATATATAGTTATATAGGGGGGTTGTGTAATATATAGGTTATATAGGGGGGGGTTGTGTAATATATAGTTATATAGGGGGGTTGTGTAATATCATATAGTTATATAGGGGGGTTGTGTAATATCATATACAGTGGGGGAAAAAAGTATTTAGTCAGCCACCAATTGTGCAAGTTCTCCCACTTAAAAAGATGAGAGAGGCCTGTAATTTTTCATCATAGGTACCGTCAACTATGACAGACAATTGAGAAGAAAAAAAATCCAGAAATCACATTGTAGGATTTTTAATGAATTTATTTGCAAATTATGGTGGAAAATAAGTATTTGGTCACCTAAAAAACAAGCAAGATTTCTGGCTCTCACAGACCTGTAACTTCTTCTTTAAGAGGCTCCTCTGTCCTCCACTCGCTATCTGTATTAATGGCATCTGTTTGAACTTGTTATCAGTATAAATGTCACGCCCTGGCTCTGGGGACATTGTTATGTTGAGCCAGGGTGTGTAGATCTATGTGTTGTGTTTCTATGTCGGGATTCTATGTATTGTATTTCTGTGTTGGCCAGAGTGGTTCCCAATCAGAGGCAACGAGTGTCAGCTGTTGCTGGTTGTCTCTGATTGGGAGCCATACTTATAGAGGCTGTTTTCCCACATTAGTTGTGGGATCTTGTTCTAGTTGGTTTGTGTTAGACCGTTGACTGTCACGTTATCGTTTTTGTTGTTTTGGTCGTGTATCACTAATAAAGAGTATGTTCGTCTGCAATGCTGCGCCTTGGTCCTCATCTGTTCCCGACGATCGTGACAATAAAAGACACCTGTCCACAACCTCAAACAGTCACACTCCAAACTCCACTATGGCCAAGACCAAAGAGCTGTCAAAGGACACAAGAAACAAAATTGTAGACCTGCACCAGGCTGGGAAGACTGAATCTGCAATAGGTAAGCAGCTTGGTTTGAAGAAATCAACTGTGGGAGCAATTATTAGGAAATGGAAGACATACAAGACCACTGATAATCTCCCTTGATCTGGGGCGCCACGCAAGATCTCACCCCGTGGGGTCAAAATGATCACAAGAACGGTGAGCAAAAATCCCAGAACCACACGGGGGGACCTAGTGTATGACCTGCAGAGAGCTGGGACCAAAGTAACAAAGCCTACCATCAGTAACACACTACGCCGCCAGGGACTCAAATCCTGCAGTGCCGACGTGTCCCCCTGCTTAAGCCAGTACATGTCCAGGCCCGTCTGAAGTTTGCTAGAGTGCATTTGGATGATCCAGAAGAGGATTGGGAGAATGTCATATGGTCAGATGAAACCAAAATATAACTTTTTGGTAAAAAACTCAACTTGTCGTGTTTGGAGGACAAAGAATGCTGAGTTGCATCCAAAGAACACCATACCTACTGTGAAGCATGGGGGTGGAAACATCATGCTTTGGGGCTGTTTTTCTGCAAAGGGACCAGGACGACTGATCCGTGTAAAGGAAAGAATGAATGGGGCCATGTATCGTGAGATTTTGAGTGAAAACCTCCTTCCATCAGCAAGGGCATTGAAGATGAAACGTGGCTGGGTCTTTCAGCATGACAATGATCCCAAACACACCGCCCGGGCAACGAAGGAGTGGCTTCGTAAGAAGCAGTTCAAGGTCCTGGAGTGGCCTAGCCAGTCTCCAGATCTCAACCCCATAGAAAATCTTTGGAGGGAGTTGAAAGTCTGTGTTGCCCAGCGACAGCCCCAAAACATCACTGCTCTAGAGGAGATCTGCATGGAGGAATGGGCCAAAATACCAGCAACAGTGTGTGAAAAACCTTGTGAAGACTTACAGAAAAGTTTGACCTGTGTCATTGCCAACAAAGGTTATATAACAAAGTATTGAGAAACTTTTGTTATTGACCAAATACTTATTTTCCACCATAATTTGCAAATAAATTCATAAAAAATCCTACAATGTGATTTTCTGGATTTATTTTTCTCATTCTGTCTGTCATAGTTGACGTGTACCTATGATGAAAATTACAGGCCTCTCTCATCTTTTTAAGTGGGAGAACTTGCACAATTGGTGGCTGACTAAATACTTTTTCCCCCACTGTAGTTATATAGGGGGGTTGGTGTACTATATAGTTATATAGGGGGGTTTTTGTGTAAATATATATAGGGGGTTGTGTAAATATAGTTTTAGGGGGGTGCTGTTTAATATATAGTTATATAGGGGGGTTGTGTAATATATAGTTATATGGGGGGTTGTGTAATATCAGTATATAGGGGGGTTGTGTAATATATAGTTATATATGGGGGGGTTTTGTGTTATATAGTTATATAGGGGGGTTGTTGTAATCATCTAGTTTACTATGGGGGGTTTGTATACTTCGTTCATCTAGGGGGGTTTGTGTATCATATATAGTTATTATTTTTTCTAGTTTGGGGGTTGGTGTATCCTCATGTTTCTATGGGGGGGTTGTGTACCTATACTCGTTTATCTGGGGGGTTGTGTATTTAGTTTTAGCGGGGGTTGTATATCCTATTACGTTTCTAGGGGGGTTTTGTACTCTTTGATCGTTGGTTAGTGGCTCTCGTGTTTGCTTGTTTGTTTTTACTCGTTTTTCTTCATTTCTTGGGGGGTTGTGTCTTATGTTATGGGGGGTTGTGTAACTCTAGTTTATTGGGGGGTTGTGTAATCTTAGGTATTAGGGGGGTTGTGTAAATTAGTTACTATCAGGGTGGGTTGTTCTTATTGTGTCTCTTCTTATCAGGGGTGTTGTGTTTAGTTATCTGGGGGGTTGTGTACTATATAGTTTATAGGGGGGTTGTGTAATATCATATATGTTATGTAGGGGGGTTGTGTAATATATAGTTATATAGGGGGGTTGTGTAATATATAGTTTATATGGGGGGTTGTGTAATTATATGTTATTGGGGGGTTGTGCCTAAATATACGTTATATGGGGGTGTTGTGTCTAATTAGTATAGGGGGGTTGTGTTCATAGTTAGTTATATAGGGGGGTTTGTGTACTATATAGTTATGGGGGGTTGTGTAATATATAGTTATCATGGGGGGTTTTTGTACATATCTAGTTATCTGGGGGGTTTGTGTAATTATGTTTTGGGGGGTTGTGTATATATGTTATATAGGGGGGTTGTGTACTATCATATAGTTATATAGGGGGGTTGTGTAATATATAGTTATATTATTGTTTCTGTCCTTTTCAACAGTGTGTGTGTGTGTGTGTGTGTGTGTGAATGCATTTTGTGTGTGAATGTTTGTGTATGTTATTTGAAATGGTGTGTTTTTGTCCTGTACTGTGTGTGTGTATATGCTTGCGTGTTTGTGTGTATGCTTGAGTGTGTTTGTGATGCATGTGTGTATACCTGTGTGTGTGTGTATACCTGTGTGTGTACCTGTGTGTGTGTGTACCTGTGTGTGTGTGTGTACCTGTGTGTGTGTATACCTGTGTGTGTGTGTGTATACCTGTGTGTGTGTATACCTGTGTGTGTGTATACCTGTGTGTGTGTATACCTGTGTGTGTGTGTATACCTGTGTGTGTGTGTACCTGTGTGTGTGTATACATGGTGTGTGTGTGTGTGTGTATACCTGTGTGTGTGTGTATACCTGTGTGTGTGTGTATCCTGTGTTGTGTGTGTATACCGTGTGTGTGTGTATACCTGTGTGTATACCTGTGTGTGTGTGTGTACCTGTGTGTGTGTGTATACCTGTGTGTGTGTGTGTATACCTGTGTGTGTGTATATACCTGTGTGTGTGTATATACCTGTGTGTGTGTGTATACCTGTGTGTGTGTATACCTGTGTGTGTGTGTGTATACCTGTGTGTGTGTGTGTATACCTGTGTGTGTGTGTGTATACCTGTGTGTGTGTGTATACCTGTGTGTATACCTGTGTGTGTGTGTATACCTGTGTGTGTGTATACCTGTGTGTGTGTGTATACCTGTGTGTGTATATACCTGTGTGTGTGTGTGTATACCTGTGTGTGTGTGTATACCTGTGTGTGTGTGTGTGTATACACCTGTGTGTGTGTATATACCTGTGTGTGTGTGTATACCTGTGTGTGTGTATACCTGTGTGTGTGTGTATACCTGTGTGTGTGTGTACCTGTGTGTGTGTATACCTGTGTGTGTGTATACCTGTGTGTGTGTGTATACCTGTGTGTGTGTATACCTGTGTGTGTGTATACCTGTGTGTGTGTATACCTGTGTGTGTGTGTATACCTGTGTGTGTGTGTGTACCTGTGTTGTCTAATCTCCTGTTCTCTCTCCTCAGTGTGCGTGTTCGAGCCGTGGTGATGACACGTGACGACTCCAGTGGCGGCTGGGTACCCCTGGGGGGCGGCGGCCTCAGTCACGTGGTGATATGTAAGGGGAGGAGCCATGAAGGCGGGGGACGGAGAGAATACATTGTACGCGGAGAGCGGCTACGCGATCGAGCAGTGAGTCTGTGTGTCACGCCTGTCTTCAGTGCTGTGCCACCTGAGGGCCCATCTGAGACATGGTCTGCATGGGACTAGTCCATTGGTTCCATTGTATATCAAGCACAGTGCAAGTATTTTTTAAAGTATTTGACTAATGTATATATGTTCTAACCCTAACTCTATGGTACGGCGTTTGTGGGAGCTCTGGTTTTTGGAGGACCATGGAAAAGTTGGTGCAGTGATCCCCTCCACCTCCCTGTCTCTGTGTGTGTGTGCATGTAGCCAGTGCTGGAGTGTGCTGTGCAGAAGGGGCTGGTCTACAACAAGGTGAACCCCATCTTCCACCACTGGCGCATGGAGGAGCGTAAGTTTGGCCTGACGTTTCAGAGTCCTGCCGACGCCATCTCCTTCGAGCGCGGCCTACAGGCGGTCATCCATAAGCTGGACCGCGGCTCTGAATCTCCTTCCTCCTCCACGCCTGAAGAGGGTGACACCGAGGACGATGGTCAAGCGGTGAGTGGCTTTATCCCTTTTTATACACACAGATCTAGGATCAGATTAGATATAGGATCTGTTTAGTGGAGTTGCGTTTCCTTTATTCAATGTTGTTCTGAGGGCAGCTCTCTGGAATTTCCTTTATTCAATGTTGTTCTGAGGGCAGCTCTGCCTCAAGGGCCAGAACGAATGTGATTGGTTCAATTAATGTTTAACAATCAGTGGGCTGAGCATACAGAGATTGTGTTGCTCACTCTGTCTGTCGGTCCTGGATCAAGACCGTCATATGATTGTGCCGGTCCTGGATCAAGACCGTCATATGATTGTGTCGGTCCTGGATCAAGATGGTCATATGATCCGTGACGGTCACGATCAATGACCGTCATACGATTGTGTCGGTCCTGGATCAAGACCGTAATATGATTGTGTCGGTCCTGGATCAAGACCGTAATATGATTGTGTCGGTCCTGGATCAAGACCGTCATATGATTGTGTTGGTCATGGATCAAGACCGTCATATGATTGTGACGGTCCTGGATCAAGACCGTCATATATATGATTGTGTTGGTCCTGGATCAAGACTGTCATATATATGATTGTGTCGGTCCTGGATCAAGACCGTCATATGATTGTGTCGGTCCTGGATCAAGACCGTCATATGATTGTGTTGGTCATGGATCAAGACCGTCATATGATTGTGACGGTCCTGGATCAAGACCGTCATATATATGATTGTGTCGGTCCTGGATCAAGACTGTCATATATATGATTGTGTCGGTCCTGGATCAAGACCGTAATATGATTGTGTCGGTCCTGGATCAAAATGGTCATATGATTGTGTCGGTCCTGGATCAAGACCGTCATATATATGATTGTGTCGGTCCTGGATCAAGACCGTAATATGATTGTGTCGGTCCTGGATCAAAATGGTCATATGATTGTATCGGTCCTGGATCAAGACCGTCATATGATTGTGTCGGTCCTGGATCAAGACCGTCATATGATTGTGTCGGTCCTGGATCAAGACCGTCATATGATTGTGTCGGTCCTGGATCAAGACTGTCATATGATTGTGTCGGTCCTGGATCATGTTGTGTACTGAGAATAGAATGTCCATGGACCTGTAGTCTATGTGAGTCTGTGGTACATGTGTGATGACCTGTAGTCTCTGTGTGGTAGCTCAGTTGGTAGAGCATGGCGCTTGCAACGCCAGGGTTGTGGGTTCGATTCCCACGGGGGACCAGAATGAAAATGTATGCATTCACTAACTGTAAGTCGCTCTGGATAAGAGCATCTGCTAAATGACTAAAATGTAAAAAATGTACATGTGTGAAGACCTGTAGTCTCTGTGAGTCTGTGGTACATGTGTGATGAGCTGTAGTCTCTGTGAGTCTGTGGTACATGTGTGATGAGCTGTAGCATACAAATATAATCTATTTTCTAAACATCTAGATTCTATTTCTATGAGTTGTAGTGTGTCAGTCTACATGACCTCTGATGACCTGTAGTGTGTCAGTCTACATGACCTCTGATGACCTGTAGTGTTTCAGTCTCTGGAGCTCAAGGATGTCTCTGTACTTTGCTCCGTTCATCTTTCCCTCGATCCTGACTAGTCTCCCAGTCCCTGCCGCTGAAAAACATCCCCACAGCATGATGCTGCCACCACCATGCTTCACCGTAGGGATGGTGCCAGGTTTCCTCCAGACGTGACGCTTGGCATACAGGCCAAAGAGTTCCATCTTGGTTTCATCAGACCAGAGAATCTTGTTTCTCATGGTCTGAGTCCTTTAGTGCCTTTCGGCAAACTCCAAGCGGGCTGTCATGTGCCTTTTACTGAGGAGTGGCTTCCGTCTGGCCACTCTACCATAAAGGTCTGATTGGTGGAGTGCTGCAGAGATGGTTGTCCTTCTGGAAGGTTCTCCCATCTTCACAGAGGAACTCCCTGACCAAGGCCCTTCTCCCCCGATTGCTCAGTTTGCCCGGGTGTCCAGCTCTAGGAAGAGTCTGGGTGATTCCAAACTTCTTCCATTTAAGAATGATGGAGGCCACTGTGTTCTTGGGGACCTTCAATGCTGCAGAATGTTTTTGGTAACCTTCCCCAGATCTGTGCCTCGACACAATCCTGTCTGGGAGCTCTACGGACAATTCCTTCGACCTCATGGTTTGGTTTTTGCTCTGACATGCACTGTCAACTGTGGGACCTTATATAGACAGGTGTGTACCTTTCCAAATCATGTTCCGATCAATTCAATTTACCACAGGTGTACTCCAATCAAGTTGTAGAAACATCTCAAGGATGATCAATGGTAACAGGATGCACCTGAACTCAATTTCGAGTCACATAGCAAAGGGTCTGAATACTTACGTAAATAAGGTATTTCTGTTTTAAAATTTTTAGTAAACTTGCAAACATTTCTAAAAACCAGTTTTCACTTTGTCATTATGGGGTATTGTGTGTAGATTGATGAGGGATTTTTTTTATTTAAACCATTTTAGAATAAGGCTGTAACGTAACAAAATGTGGAAAAAGTCAAGAGGTCTGAATACTTTTCGAATGTAACAACAAACAACCTTCAATTTATTGCATTTTCATCTCTTATGAAAATGAAAATAAACCAACAAATATACTGAACAAAAATATAAACGCAACATGCAACAATTTCAATGATTTTACTGAGCAACAGTTCATATAAGGAAATCAAACAATTGAAATTAATTAGGCCCTAATCTATGGATTTCACATGACTGGGCAGGGGATGCAGCCATGTGTGGGCCTGGGAGGGCATAGACCCACCCACCAGCCAATCAGAATTAGTTTTTCTCACAAAAGGGCTTTATTATAGACAGACGATCCCGCAGGTGAAGAAGCCAGATGTGGAGGTCCTGGGCTGCAATGGTTACACGTGGTCTGCTGTTATGAGGCCGATTGGACGTAATGCCAAATACTCTAAAACGACGTTGGAGGTGGCTCATGGTAGAGAAATTAACATTCAATTCTCTGCCAACAGCTCTGGTGGACATTCCCTCAAAACTTGAGACATCTGTGGCATTGTGTTGTGTGACAAAACTGCACATTTTAGAGTGGCCTTTTATTGTCCCCAGCACAAGGTGCCCCTGTGTAATGATCATGCTGTTTAATCAGCTTCTTGATATGCCACACCTGTCAGGTGGATGGATTATCTTGGCAATGGAGAAATGCTCACTAACAGGGATGTAAACAAATTTCTGCACAAAATTGGGGGAAATTAGCTTTTTGTGCAAATGGAACATTTCTGGGATCTTTTATTTCAGCTCATGAAACATGAGACCAACACTTTACATGTTGCGTTTATATTTTTGTTCAGTATACATTTACTCAATAACATTATATCCAATCATTTGTATAGTGTCCTATGCAACAACCTGTTAAACCATAATGTTTTGTTCCTAGATTATGTTTTATTTAAAAAAATGTATAAAACATTTTGGCGACCAAGTTGCACCAAGACCCCACTGGGGGTCGCGACCCCGACCAAATACCACTGGTCTAAAGTTTAATGACGTGTAGTGTGTCAGTCTACAGTGTGATGACCTCTGACCTGTATTGTCAGTCTACAGTGTGATGACCTCTGACCTGTAGTATCAGTCTACAGTGTGATGACCTCTGACCTGTATTGTCAGTCTACAGTGTGATGACCTCTGACCTGTAGTGTCAGTCTACAGTGTGATGACCTCTGACCTGTATTGTCAGTCTACAGTGTGATGACCTCTGACCTGTAGTGTGTCAGTCTACAGTGTGATGACCTCTGACCTGTAGTATCAGTCTACAGTGTGATGACCTTTGACCTGTAGTGTGTCAGTCTACACTGTGATGACCTCTGACCTGTAGTGTGAGTCAGTCTACAGTGTGATGACCTTTGACCTGTAGTGTGTCAGTCTACACTGTGATGACCTCTGACCTGTAGTGTGAGTCAGTCTACACTGTGATGACCTCTGACCTGTAGTGTGTCAGTCTACAGTGTGATGACCTCTGACCTGTAGTGTCAGTCTACAGTGTGATGACCTCTGACCTGTAGTGTGTCAGTCTACAGTGTGATGACCTCTGACCTGTAGTGTCAGTCTACACTGTGATGACCTCTGACCTGTAGTGTGAGTCAGTCTACAGTGTGATGACCTCTGACCTGTAGTGTGTCAGTCTACACTGTGATGACCTTTGACCTGTAGTGTGTCAGTCTACAGTGTGATGACCTCTGACCTGTAGTGTCAGTCTACAGTGTGATGACCTCTGACCTGTAGTGTGAGTCAGTCTACAGTGTGATGACCTCTGACCTGTAGTGTGTCAGTCTACAGTGTGATGACCTCTGTCCTGTAGTGTGTCAGTCTACAGTGTGATGACCTCTGACCTGTAGTGTGAGTCAGTCTACAGTGTGATGACCTCTGACCTGTAGTGTCAGTCTACAGTGTGATGACCTCTGACCTGTAGTGTGTCAGTCTACAGTGTGATGACCTCTGACCTGTAGTATCCGTCTACAGTGTGATGACCTCTGACCTGTAGTGTCAGTCTACACTGTGATGACCTTTGACCTGTAGTGTGTCAGTCTACACTGTGATGACCTCTGACCTGTAGTGTGTCAGTCTACAGTGTGATGACCTCTGACCTGTAGTGTGTCAGTCTACAGTGTGATGACCTCTGACCTGTAGTGTGAGTCAGTCTACAGTGTGATGACCTCTGACCTGTAGTGTGAGTCAGTCTACAGTGTGATGACCTCTGACCTGTAGTGTCAGTCTACACTGTGATGACCTTTGACCTGTAGTGTGTCAGTCTACACTGTGATGACCTCTGACCTGTAGTGTCAGTCTACAGTGTGATGACCTCTGACCTGTAGTGTCAGTCTACAGTGTGATGACCTCTGACCTGTAGTGTGTCAGTCTACAGTGTGATGACCTCTGACCTGTAGTGTGTCAGTCTACAGTGTGATGACCTCTGACCTGTAGTATGTCAGTCTACAGTGTGATGACCTCTGACCTGTAGTGTGTCAGTCTACAGTGTGATGACCTCTGTCCTGTAGTGTGTCAGTCTACAGTGTGATGACCTCTGACCTGTAGTGTGTCAGTCTACAGTGTGATGACCTCTGACCTGTAGTGTGTCAGTCTACAGTGTGATGACCTCTGTCCTGTAGTGTGTCAGTCTACAGTGTGATGACCTCTGACCTGTAGTGTGTCAGTCTACAGTGTGATGACCTCTGACCTGTAGTATGTCAGTCTACAGTGTGATGACCTCTGACCTGTAGTATGTCAGTCTACAGTGTGATCAAATCAAATTTGATTTGTCACATGCGCCGAATACAACAGTGAAATGCTTACTTACAAGCCTTTAACCAACAATGCAGTTTTAAGAAAAATAAGAGTTAAGAGAAATATTTACAAAATAAACTAAAGTAAAAAATTAAAGAGCAACAATAAAATAACAATAACGATACCGGTACAGAGTCAATGTGCGGGGGTACAGGTTAGTCGAGGTAATTTGTACATGTAGGTAGGGGTAAAGTGACTATGCATAGATAATAAACAGTGAGTAGCAGCAGTGTAAAAAAAAAAAGGGGGGGTCAATGCAAATAGTCCGGGTGGCCAATTGATTAGCTGTTCAGCAGTCTTATGGCTTGGGGGTAGAAGCTGTTAAGAAGCCTTTTGGACCTAGAATTGGCGCTCAGGTACCGCTTGCCGTGCGGTAGCAGAGAGAACAGTCTATGACTAGGGTGGCTGGAGTCTTTGACAATTTTGAGGGCCTTCCTCTGACACCGCCTGGTATAGAGGTCCTGGATGGCAGGAAGCTTGGCCCCAGTGATGTACTGGGCCGTACGCACTACCCTCTGTAGCGCATTGCGGTCGGAGGCCGAGTAGTTGCCATACCAGACGGTGATGCAACCAGTCAGGATGCTCTCAATGGTGCAGCTGTAGACGTTTTTGAGGATCTGAGGACCCATGCCAAATCTTTTCAGTCTCCTGAGGGGGAATAGGCTTTGTCGTGCCCTCTTCACGACTGTCTTGGTGTGCTTGGACCATGTTAGTTTGTTGGTAATGTGGACACCAAGGAAGCTCTCAACCTGTTCCACTACAGCCCCATCGATGAGAATGGGGGCGTGCTCAGTCCTCATCTTTTTCCTGTAGTCCACAATCATCTCCTTTGTCTTGATCATGTTGAGGGAAAGGTTGTTATCCTGGCACCACACGGCCAGGTCTCTGACCTCCTCCCTATAGGCTGTCTCGTCATTGTCGGTGATCAGGCCTACCGTGGTTGTGTCATCGGCAAACTTAATGATGGTGTTGGAGTTGTGCCTGGCCATGCAGTCATAAGTGAACAGGGAGTACAGGAGGGGACTGAGCACGCACCCCTGAGGGTCCCTCGTGTTGAGGATCAGCGTGGCAGATGTGTTGTTACCAACCCTTACCACCTGGGGGCGGCCCGTCAGGAAGTCCAGGATCCAGTTGCAGAGGGAGGTGTTTAGTCCCAGGGTCCTTAGCTTGACAACCATGCCAAATCTTTTCAGTCTCCTGAGGGGGAATAGGCTTTGTCGTGCCCTCTGCACGACTGTCTTGGTGTGTTTGGACCACTGTATTCTTGGCGCCGGATGAAATGGCTGCCGTTTTATGGCCTCTGGTAATACAAGGGGTGGCGGTGTATGTATATTTGTAAACAACAGCAAGCATGATATCTAAGGAAGTCTCAAGGTTTTGCTCGCCTGAGGTAGAGTATCTCATGATAAGCTGTAGAACACACTATCTACCTTAGAGAGTTTTCATCTAATTTATATTCTTTGTAGCTGTCTATTTACCACCACAAACCAATGCTGGCACTAAGACCGCTCTCAATGAACTGTATACGGCCAAAAGCAAACAGGAAAATGCTCATCCAGAGGCGGCGCTCCTAGTGGCCGGGGACTTTAATGCAGGGAAACTTTAATCCGTTTTACCTCATTTCTACCAGCATGTTAAATGTGCAACCAGAGGGAAAATAACCTCTAGACCACCTTTACTCCACACACAGAGACGCATACAAAGCTCTCCCTCACCCTCCATTTGGCAAACCTGACCATAATTCTATCCTCCTGATTCCTGCTTACAAGCAAAAACTAAAGCAGGAAGCACAAGTGACTTGGTCAATAAAAAAGTGGTCAGATGAAGCAGATGCTAAGTTACAGGACTGTTTTGCTAGCACAGACTGGAATATGTTCCGGGATTCTTACGATGGCACTGAGGAGTACACCACATCAGTCACTGGCTTCATCAATAAGTGCATCGATGATGTCGTCTCCACAATGACTGTACGTACATACCCCAACCAGAAGCCATGGATTACAGGCAACATCCGCACTGAGCTAAAGGGTAGAGCTGCCGCTTTCAAGGAGCGGGACTCTAACCCGGAAGCTTATAAGAAATCCCGCTATGCCCTCCGACGAACCATCAATACAGGCAAAGAGTCAATACAGGACTAAGATTGAATCGTACTACACTGGCTCCAACGCTCGTCGGATTTGGCAGGGCTTGCAAACTATTACAGACTACAAAGGGAAGCACAGCCGCGAGCTGCCCAGTGACACGAGCCTACCATACGAGTTAAATTACTTCTATGCTCGCTTCGAGGCAAGCAACACTGAAGCATGCATGAGAGCATCAGCTGTTCCGGATGACTATATGATCACGCTCTCCGTAGCTGATGTGAGTAAGACCATTAAACAGGTCAACATTCACAAGGCCGCAGGGCCAGATGGATTACCAGGACGTGAACTCCGAGCATGCGCTGACCAACTGGCAAGTGTCTTCACTGACATTTTCAACCTGTCCCTGACTGAGTCTGGAACACCTATGTGAGAATGCTATTCATTGACTACAGCTCAGCGTTCAACACCATAGCGCCCTCAAAGCTACTCACTAAGCTAAGGACCCTGGGACTAAACACCTCCCTCTGCAACTGGATCCTGGACTTCCTGACGGGCCGCCCCCAGGTGGTAAGGGTTGGTAACAACACATCTGCCACGCTGATCCTCAACACGAGGGACCCTCAGGGGTGCGTGCTCAGTCCCCTCCTGTACTCCCTGTTCACTCATGACTGCATGGCCAGGCACGACTCCAACACCATCATTAAGTTTGCCGACGACACAACCACGGTAGTCCTGATCACCGACAATGACGAGACAGCCTATAGGGAGGAGGTCAGAGACCTGGCCGTGTGGTGCCAGGATAACAACCTCTCCCTCAACATGATCAAGACAAAGGAGATGATTGTGGACTACAGGAAAAATATGAGGACTGAGCACGCCCCCATTCTCATCGATGGGGTTAGTGGAACAGGTTGAGAGCTTCCTTGGTGTCCACATTACCAACAAACTAACATGGTCCAAGCACACCAAGACAGTCGTGAAGAAGGCACGACAAAACCTATTCCCCCTAAGGAGACTGAAAATATTTGGCATGGGTCTTCAGATCCTCAAAAGGTTCTACAGCTGCACCATCAAGAGCATCCTGACTGGTTGCATCACTGCCTGGTATGGCAACTGCTCGGCCTCCGACCGCAAGGCACTACAGAGGGTAGTGGGTACGGCCCAGTACATCACTGGGGCCAAGCTTCCTGCCATCCAGGACCTCTATACCAGGCGGTGTCAGAGGAAGGCCCTAAAAATGGTCAAATACTCCAGCCACCCTAGTCATAGACTGTTCTCTCTGCTACCGCACGGCAAGCGGTACCGGAGCGCCAAGTCTAGGTCCAAGAGGCTTCTACACAGCTACAAGCCATAAGACTCCTGAACATCTAATCAAATAGCTACCCAGACTATTTGCATTGCCCCCCACCTCTCTTTTACGCTGCTGCTACCCTCTGTTTATTATCTATGCATAATCACTTGAATAACTCTACCTACATGTACATATTACCTCAATTACCTAGACTAACCGGTGTCCCCGCACATTGACTCGGTACCGGTACGCCCTGTGTGGCGCAGCGGTCTAGTGCACTGCATCTCAGTGCTTGAGGCGTCACTACAGACTCCCTGGTTCGATTCCAGGCTGTATCACAACCGGCCGTGATTGGGAGTCCCATAGGGGCGGCGCACAATTGGCCCAGCGTCGTCCTGGTTTGGCCGGTGTAGGCCGTCATTGTAAATAAGAATTTGTTCTTAACAGACTTGCCTAG